CTGTTTCTAGGGCAAGTTCCTCCAACCTCCAAATATCCTTATGCTGCTATTGCAGCTTCCCCAGGGCAGCTAATGATGCCAGCTACCATTTCATGGGTCTCTGGATGCAATCCATTTCAGTCTGTGCATTACCTAGGCAATGACAAGGGTCCCAGAAAGTGGGCCTCTCAAGGTAAGTGTCTAAATCAGGCTAGAAGTCTCCTTTTTGAGCCATTTGTTTCCACTGATGATTGGGAATGTTGAGATTACTTGTCCTGACTGGCTGCCTATTAGAGGTTTAAATTGAAAATCTGCCTTTAGCGAGCAGTGGAATGGGAAAGAAAGACATTGTTTGCAGTGCCAAAATATATCGTGGTGGCTGTAGGCTGGCAGAGGTTCCTGCAGACAGTGCTTCCTATCCCACTGAATCTCTGATAGTTTGAATTAACTGACAGCTTATGCCATAAGCCTTATACTTCCCACAGTAAATAGAATCATAGCTTCATTGAGGTTGAAAAAGACCACTAATATCATGTAGTCCAACCATCAATTCATTACCACCATGCCCACTAAATCATGTCCATCATGCAGAAATGCCGATCCAGTTATCCTTAGAAGAACAGGCACCACCATTTCTTTTTCTATCCAGGTTGTATGTTCTGGTGTTCTGGTGTTCTGTACAAAGCAGTGGTAGGAAATAGCAGTTTATTCCCACTAATGACAATGCTGCTGGATTTGCCCTCAGACCCTGTTTCAGAACCTCTGAAAGGTGCAGCCTTGCAGCAAGCATTGGTAGTTTAACCAAGCTTCCCCAACACGATGGTTTAACAGTGCTGACAAGGGCTTTTCCACACTTCAGCAGGAGTGTTAGTCTTGGCTGAAAAGCCCCAGTAACTGGAGGTTAAGTGACTCCATCCCAAACCCCATCTGGCAGAGGGCTGCCCGATCCCTCCTCCTACCCCTCACCACATCATCTCTCTGTCCATCCAGCTTGCTTGCTCCCACTGAACCGGCCCAAAGAGGCCAAACGAAAGGAGAAAGTGATGCTCACAGTCTGAAATTTGGCAATGGCAAAGTATGGCTCAAAGGGAACTGCTCCTGCCAGGAGAGACAAGGTTTGCCTGCCTGAGCTGTGTCATGTCCCTGCTAGTTTCATCAAGAGCTTGTCTTGCTGAGCACACAGAAGGGCTTGGGGAAATAAATCCTGGTGGAGTTAAAGAAAAATAAAGAGCTATGTTTGGCTTCAAAGCCCCCCTTGAGAGAATGCATGAATTATGGCTATGCTGAGATTAATAGAGCTGGAGGAACGTGCTTCATGTTGCATAAGGTTTCAGTTTAAGATGTTCTATATAACATTAACAGTGGTAAAGCACAGAGCAATGAGGCAATGCGCAGCAAATTCAGACAGCTTTTACCTTTGCTGCAGGACAGATTTACAGAAGGGGAGAGAGAGAGGAGAGCAGTGTGGGTTTGTGATGAACTGCTGGGGTGCAGTGTGCAGGAGGCTTGGGAGCACAGCAGAAAGACTGCTTCCCAATCTCAGCCTTTGGGCTGTGTCTCCATTGGATGCTCCCAACAGGTTGTGTTAGGGTGATGCTCGGTCTGGGGTGCTGAGGGAGCATCCCATGGTAGTACAAGCAGTCAGAAGCGTGGGTCCTGAAAAAATTATGGGGACAAGAAACTAAAGTGACTTATCCCTGGTCTTCTAAATAAATGCTTTGTTCATGCAGGGGAGATCACATCTTACAGACATGCATTTAAAGATGCTCCCACGGTCATCTTGGCTGATGAAAAACAGTAGATATCCATGTCCAAAAACTGTCTGAGGTGGAAGATATTTTTAGAGGACCTCCAATGAAAGACTTCTTCATAACGATAGAGTCATTAACGTTGAAGAAGACCAATACAATCATCTAGTCCAAATGTCAACCCAACTCCCAATGGGTTAGTGCCCACTAACCCATGTATCTCAGTGCTACATTTACACTTTTCCTGAACACTTTGAGGGATGGTGACTTCCCTAGACAGCCTGTTCCAATGTCTCACCACTCTTTCTGAGAAGTTTTTCCTCATATTCAACATGAATCTCCCCTAGTGCAACTTAAAGTCTTTTATCTCTTGTCCTAAATGGCTCTCCAGTGCTCTTTAGCATTGCAACCCATTGGGAATATGCATTAGAAGCTGGCTAAATCTCAACTTCTCTTCCTTCAGTAGATGATGGCCAAAACTTGGGTACCACTACTGTTTTGAGTGACTTGAGCACTGCAACACTGATTCCAGCCATGTATGGACAAATTGTGTTGGATGAACACTACCATCATGCCTTTGTCTGTGGAAGTTTTCCCATCCTCTATCTCATTCTAATGATGCTTACAGAAGGCAGATGTGTGTGTCTGTCGATCAGACAGAAATTCTTACATGTGGCAATTCAGACTATCTAGTAAAGGGCTCACGTGCCTGTAACGTGACATTCCAAAAATCAATTTGATGTAATGCAGTGCTGATTTGTTTGGCAGATAGACTGACTGCGTAAATCATCTTGATGTGGTGAAACTTAAGACCGGGTGTATTTGTGACAGGATGTTTCAGACAAATGCTTGAATATATGTAATTTGTGGTTTCACAGCTGTATGCTGTCTGGGCTAAATCCTAAGGATGTGTGTGGATATTTTTGTGCTACCTTTTTTGCTACATCTTCTCGTACTGCTCTGGATTTATTAAAATACCACCGAGGATGGCTTGCTGACCCAACTGTGGAATATACAAATAGAGATGTCCAGAGCAAACAAATCTTCTGTAGGTCCTCTCGTAATGTAACTTCTGAAGGAAATCTTGAAAAATAATTCACAGATTTGCCCGAAGAACTGTCTTCACTCCACTTCCCAGGTCTATGGGCATATATACCATGTTAAGTACAGCAGTTCAGACTTACTGCTTAACTCTCTGCTGCTGATTCTCAAGTGACTTAGCTTGCTGGATGAAGATTTCTGTATCTTTTAAATGTGATGTCAAAAAAAAAAAAAAAAAAGAGGAAAAAAACTCTCTAGTGTACTTGGCATTACAAGCTGCCGTGGGGAATGGCAGCATGAATCGTTCCTAGAAAAAGAAAGTCAGTTCTTAGTAGCTTTAGCAATGCTTTTGGATTAAAGCTTGATCTTGATGTTCATCAGTGCAAACTCTGCACATTTATGGACTCGCAAGACTGGACAAAATGGGGTGTGAAATTCCTCTTTGTAGATATGCTCCATAGGAAGGACTGCCCAAAGTGGGGATATCTCAGCTGGCAGTAAACAAAAAGTTTCGAGTAGCAACATGAACCAAGCGCTGGCTTATTCCTTACATATTTATTCCTGGTTAATTACACTGCCTGGACTGAGCTCCAGCCTGTCAGATTTACACAGTTCTCAGCATCAGATCTAGCAGTTTAAAAATAACTTGGGTGCACCCATGTGAACCGCAGCTCTGGCAGCAGCAGCAGAGGTGGGACAGCACTCACATTTATACACGATCCTTGCTGCAGAGCCTGTGAAAAACACAGTTTGCAACCAGCTGGAGAGAATGTGTGGACCTCGCCTTCTTGTTTTTCCACACATAGAAGGATCAAAGGAGTTCATTTTTCAGCTAGTTGTCCTGTAATTTCAGGTAGGCATCCTATTAGACATTATTATTAGTGAGGCTCTACCTACTGCTTGCCCCGTTGGTACACAAACTTGTGTGGGTCTTAGTTTTTATGTTTGTGTTGCTCCAGTGTTCTCTTTGGACATCTCCAGGTAATTTAAATATTAAGCCACTGTCTTCAGGCTGGAGAGTGAAGATCTGGAAAAGGAATGGTGTAAGCAAATAAGCTGTCTGACTTTCTAATAGTTCGTGAGAAGTTTCTAGTATCTCTGCACAACTGCCCAACCTCTGCTGACAGGGGACAAACCTCAATGGTTTGGGAGTGCCTCTAAGGTGAGGCTAATGCCATCCCTGATGTCAGCTACCAGACGCTGCCATTTCCTCAGCAGCCAGCCCAGGTAAACGTGATTGGGTTCAGACAATGGCACACTTCAAGTGCATGAATTTACTGGACTTTGTGATTTAGTTATCAGTACCTGCCTGTCCAGCAGTACACAATGAGAAATGCAAGAAGTCCCTCAGGAAGTGAAATTTCCTCCTGCAAACATCTTGTCCACACAATGGTCTCCTGTGTAGGGATTTAAATTCAAGATAAGTTCTGCTCGAAGCTTTGCAAGGGTTTGGCAAACACGGCAGCCAAGAGGTGCCAGCTGTTTTCAAACAGCTCTTGGAATGAGCTGTGATCAAAATCAAACTCCCCCCTCTTTAGTGCAATTTCTGGTCTTCATCTGTGAACTTACAGTCTTCCTAGTGTGCATCTATAAAAGACTCCTGGTGAGAGGGTAGTTAGGGTAAGCACTGCCCTTTCAGCAAAGCCCTGTGGTGCTTTTGTACAGGAAACATGAGCTTATGGCTACTGGAAGCAGTTGCTTTGTTGACCAACCATGGTTTTTGCTGTTGGGGGGTTCCAAAGCAAAAGAACTTTTAGTCATCAAAGTGGACTCCCTCCCTCTCTTTCAGAAAGGTAGAAAGAAACATGCAGTTCTTCATCACCACACAGAGGATATACTTGTTTGCTTAGATTCTCTGTCAGTTCCAAATGTTCTGCCAGAGAAAGCCTATCTCGGCTTTTGAACTCCAGTTTCAGATCATGAATAGGTCAACCTTCCTCCATAAATTCAACTTAACTTCAACAGGTCTTTCAAAGCAGCTCCAAAAAGTCATTGTGAACAATCAGTATCATTAAAATCTACAATTTTGCATCTTAGCTCAACACAGAAGTGAAAGCAAAGCTTTTAGTAGAAGGGGCGTAAAAAAAGTCAGTAGAATTTCAAAAAAGCTGTTGTACTTTTGAAGAGTTGTGAAGTCCTTTGGGTTTTTTTCTTTACCTGAGTAAACCCTTACTTGAATAAGCTTTTGTGTAAAGCTCATCTGTTCCTATTTCATTTCTTCTGTCCCCTCAGCTCATGTGCTCCTCGGTCCAGAAAGCCCTGTTTGAGGAGGAGGACAGAGTGAAGAAGCTGCAGCAGAAGGTGGCAACGTTGGAGAAACGCAACAAACAGCTGCGAGATCGGGTGAAGAAAGTCAAGAGGTCTCTCCGGCAAGCTAGGAAAAATACCAGGCACATGGAGCTGATGAACCGAAAGCTCAGTGAGAAACTTGCCTCTGCTGGTGGCCAGATTCCCTACATTAACTCTTTAAAGCAGGAGAACTCACATGCTACCTACCTTAAAGTATAATGCAAGGGTAAGAGTTCAGGCCAATGGTAATGGCAAATTTTGCCTGCGTTAGATCAGGATCTGGCCCTTACACCTTGTCTACACTGCTTCAAACCTTGCATGGAAAATGAATCTGAACTTGCTCTAGACACAGTGCTAGATTAAACAGGAATGCAAACTGGATTTGTCTGGGTAGTGGAGGAACAGCCCAAAACCAAGTCCATAGCGTTCTGGGTAGACATAGAGCCAGGTTATAATAGAAAGCACATTGTGCTTCTCGGTCCTCTTCCCCCTGCCTCTGCCAACACCCCTGTGGTGGGGTGGGTGTGATGGAAGTTCTGTCAGGCACGTGACATGGGAGCAGTTCTAGGGATCTGATGCCAGCTTGCCTTTTCTACATGGTCTGGGCAAGTAAGTGGATGTACAGAGATGAATACTGCAAGAAGGATGCAGCATAAATGCTCCTTGCTCCATCATGATCCCCTTCATTGTGCCTTAAGCTTGACTAAAGACTATATTGTGTATATGAGCACAGGCTATGTCCAGGACGCATAGTCAGTTTGGGCCCTTATTCAAAATGAAATGCAAATGTGCCCAAACTGTCTTAAGACTGTGTCTAAGTATTTCTTAATATTCTAAAAAAAAAAAAAAAAAAAAAAGAAAAATCTAATATTTTTCATTTTACCAGGACATGCCTTAAGAGTCGTAGTAACTCCTTCAGGTGCCTTTAGTGTTGCTCAGCCAATGGAGCTGGAGAGCTATCAATCTGAGTCTGTGTCTAGGACCTAATCCAGCTCCTACCATCAGGAATGGATTTAGCCTAGATTTAGTGGGTGCTGGATCAGGTCTGATGGACGATTTCAGATCCTGTTTTCAAGCAGGTTTAACTTACAGTGTGGACAAGGCTTCAAGTTTTGTAATCACTGTTGAGGTATAAAGGAGGTTGCTGGGCAGCCTCATTTAGTTACGCTTAGATACTGTAGAGATCACATCAATATCAACAGGGCATTAAAAATTAAGGTAGTTTATATATGTATATATTCTAAAATCCTATAGAAAATATTTTTATTACACATTTGATATAGTCTAATTTCTTAAAATATGAAGCAAATCCCATTTCTTGGTTATCTCATTAGAAAAGTCCATCATGTTCTTTATTAAACATTTACAAAACTGAATTCTGTTGAAGCATCATAGATGAAGGCTCAGCAACCATGACTAATATATTTTTCAGCTATGTTAATGTACCAGAGGATGTCTTTGGTCATGGTAGTTAAACAACCTTCCTTCATAACAGGGCATAAGGAGTAGAAAATGAAAGAAGAGTTTTTGTGTCTTCTTTCCCTTCTCAAAATAGGTTTTCTTTCCCCAGGCATGAACCTCAGGAGTAGATATGTCTCATGCTTTTCAACAGAGGCAGAGTCCTTGCTTAGCATCAGGCAATACTGACAATTTACCAAGGCTAAACCTGATTTATATATGATAGACCAATCCAGATGAACTTTAATATAGAGGTAAGGTCCTCAGAAATAACAATGTGGAAACCACCATTCTGCTCCTAACTCTTCAGTCTTTGCCAGATCACTGCATGGTCTCCATGCTGTTTCTCAGAGATTAAAAATAGAGTGTATCCAGGCTGCAGCTCTGTTGGACCACGCTTTAACTATCCCCACATTTAGGAAAAGCCCATATCAGCTTTCAGCCATGAGCTTCAGTCCAAGCTAAGCTCAGAAGTTAAGACTTGCATTGGCTTTTAGGATGCTGCTGAGTTTAATTACCTTCCAGACATGCTCGTTTTGGAAATAGAGCTTTCCCTTTCCCACTCCCCCCTTGAAATAATATTGGCATTTCTTAAGATTCTGACTCCTCCACAAGCTTCAAAGGCTTTGCCTACCAAATCAGCACAATTTAAGTTGTTTTATGCTGTAGTCAGCAATGCTGTTTCCTGAGAACTACAACTGACTTAAGGCTTCCCTAGAAGCCATCAAAAGATTTTAACTCTAAAATGTAAATTCATAGGAAAGTATCTAATTTTGTTGGTTTGTTTGTTTCTGGTTTCTACACTGCTGTTTGAATAAGTTAACTGTTTTTTTCCTGGTATAGGTATTAAAAGCTTGTGGGTTCTGTTGTTTGTTAATAAAAGTATTCCCCCTGTTATTCATTCATGTTTTATAAATGTTTTTATAAAGCTGAGAAAGCATAGTTAATATACTTATGTCTTCACTATTTTTACAGTTTTCCCAAACATTGTGTTGAAAACATTCTCATTTGGCTGATTTTTTTTTTTTTTTTATTGATGAAAAGACTGAAATTTCCATCCTATTTTCTCTCTAGCTGGAAAAAAAAGTAAACCGTTTTGTTTTCCTTATCAGTTTTGTGAGAATGTTGTTGCTTTGTAAAGAAAGCAAAAAGAAAATCCCCAAATGCAAAATCCAAACATAAATCAAAATGTCTCCTTCAAACAGCAAACCAAAGAAGGGTGTGCCCTGTGGGATTTGGATCATTTCCAGAGATAAGAACTGGCCATCAGATCAGACCAGGAGATAACCCTCTCAACAAGTAACAGGAGATGCCAAGCCTGAATAAAAATACCTTTCAAGTGTCACTTTGATTACCTGCCCCTGATGGTGACCGTATGCAGAGAGTAGCCAAGAAGGCTGTACAGGCAGGAAACATGAGTATGAAGGAGAATTCATGTTATTTCCACCTAGTTTGGTACATCACATATAGCTTGACAGAGACACTAATTTTTAGACCCAGTTTTAAGCTGTTTTGGGGACTGATTAATCTCAAAACTCACAAAGGAGGCACAAATTCATACTATTTTCCAAATTACTGCAAAGGGCATAGTTGAGTATGTCCATGTTAAAGAGCTACTCAGGTGACTCTGGTGAGAGGGCAGAAATGCAGAGGTGGCTGGCAAGCTTAAACAAGGTGTAAAGGGATGGCATGGAAACCCAATAAAACATCTTGGGGAATAAAAATGGACTTCTAAGATCATCCAGTCCAGCCATCAACCCATCCCCACCATGCCCACTATGTCCCTTGGTGTCACATCCACATGTTTCTTGAACATTTCCAGGGACAGTGACTCCATGGGCAGCCTGTTCCAGCTGTGCTCAGGAGGGGAAAACAATTGGTTAGAAACAACACCAAATGAGGCATGCAGTCCTCAGAAGTTCAGAGATGCCCTACAAATGAGTAACATTTGCTTTTGCAAATACATCAATGGCTTGAAGGGTGCCAGAGTCTCAGCAGAGTTGGTGCTGAGGTTTTCAAGAGGCCACAGAGCAAATTGAGTAGCAACAGTAATGAAATACAGAATTAGCTGGGTGATACTGGATGACTGACAACAGAAATAAATGAAACACAATGCAGGTTATTTAAAAGGACAAGAAAAATTTTCATGTCTTTTCACATGAAATGAGATGTACTATGTCCACATTAAAGAGACAATATTAAAGAGTATTTAGTGATACCTGGTTCAGCCACCCAGCATCATTAGATACAGTCCATCTGTTGGATCAGTCTTAAATGAAGATAGAGAATTCATGCTATCATTCTATGAAAACATTGGCTAATAGAAAAGTAATTGAAGGGGTGGAAATGCTTAGGAAGAGAATAAAGGGGAATGATGGATTCACCATCCCTGGAGATGTTCCAGTAACATGTAGATATGGCACACTGAGGTACATGGGCTAGTGGGCATGGTGGTGGTGGGTTGATGGTTGGACTAGGTGATCTCAGTGGTCTTTTCCAGTCTTTATTATTCTATGATGAGCAACTCTACTTGCCAGGACTGCAAGAAACAGAAGAGATGAACTGAGAGAGAAGAATGACAGAGGATAACAGGCAGAGGAAATCTTAGGATTTTCTTCTTGGCATCATCACCACCACCATGTTGCACTTTTTCAGTCACTTGTTAAAATTTTGTACATCTCTGCATCCAGAAAGCACTTTATGCCCTTATATGTCACAACAGGAAGAACTCATCTGTGTTTTTGCTTGTTTGTTTTTCTGTTTTCTTTTTGAATTTTTTTTTAAGCAGATATTTATAGAACAAAGCGCATTAAATAAGCTGAGTTATTTTCTCATAAATCACAAGCTACCATAGATGGGCTAATCATATAGTAAAGATTTTACGGACAGCAGGCAACGTTAGCAGCTTTCTCTGATTCTCAACACCAAAACCACTGAGAAGAGAATTAATTCCATATGTTATTCTGTTTGGGTTTTAGCAGAAGTTTTTGGAGGAGAAGAGCACATCAGTGGTTCAGAGCCACATCAGTAAGGCCCTTTTCCTATACACAGGTTTTCTTGCCAAGCCTAGGTAATCTCTCATTAATGAAGCAAAGAAGCCCAAACTAATTTCTAAAAGGGGAGAAAAAAAACATACAAGGAAAACTGTGGAGAGTAGATAAAACTGACAAGATATGTCACTCATTCTTACAATAAATCTAAGTAATTGCAAGGAAATTTCATTTTCCTCCCCATTTAACCCCAATTATTTTCATTTAATCATAGAAACATTGCTAGTTCCCTCCAAACCAGACTGCATTGCGTGTGAAATGCCGTTTCCAACATGCACTTGGGTTTAAGCATGTTCCTAATCCCGTAAAACAAACACAGTGAGTGGGACAGTGTGTTCCAGTGTACGTGGCTCTGTGCTGAGAGGACTCCTTGGCTTTGGTTGCCTTAGCTGTCTAGGGAACGTGGCCAAGTTACACCAGTGGGGATTTCCCAGATGGCACCGGATCTCAAACCCAGTGAGGCAGGCAAACAATGGTGTAGTAGGGAGTGATGGCTCCTTACCAAGGAAGCACCTCTTGCTGGGCTGAGATTTGGTGACTTGGTTGGTTTTCAGTTAGATGGGCTTGGTGGCATCACAGCAATGTTGGGGGTTTCTCCTTATGGCAGAGTCTTAGTGCCTGCTTTCTGCTGTAGTTAACATTAATTGTGTACAGTGGCATTTCTCTCTGGTTTTGTGTCTCAGGAAGAATTTTTTTTTCTTTTTACAGAAATTTTCCACAAACAAACAGCTATTTATCACAACAAGGTTGTTGTGGGGAGTAATTGTTTTGCAATTGTAAAATATAACCAGTGAAGTGACATTTTCTTTGGCAAACTCCCAATGATTTGGAGTCATAACAAAATTTGGCAGAAGTCCCTTCATGTCCTAATGACCCCTCCAAAACAAAAATCAGCAGGAAGTCTTTGAAGTATTTCACTTTTGCAATGTAGTGCATTCTCAGTAAAGCCTTCACAGTGCTTCATGGCTAAAACTGAAATGAATGTCCTTACTGAGCCTTCTTGAGCCTCTCCTGGCTCTTCATCCCAATTGCACAACTGAAGTGACAAAGAAGGCAACACAGACAGAATCATAAACTGTCCCATCTTGTAAGGGACCCACAAGGACCATCAAATCCAATTCTTGGCTCCACACAGGACCACTCAAAAATCAAACCCTCTGTCTCCTACAGGAAGGACACTGGAGCTGGATTGCCAATAGAGCCAGAATGTCTGACAGTGGTGGCCACCAGGACCTTAATGGGGAAAAAAAGGAGAGTCATTTGCCATGCACTAGGCATTGGTGGCACTATTCACTGGTCATCTATGCAAGGGAATACAAAGTTCCTGCAACTGATGAGTCCTGTTGTGT